CAGTACAACGGCGTCGTCGAGAGCGCCATCTGGCGCATCATGAAGGCCGGCATGGCCGCCCGCCGCAGCGCTGGCCGTGTGTTCGACGTCGACTTCGCCTCCATCCCCGGCCTCGACGAGCGCGGTGACCTTCTTTGGATGGAATCGGCGAAGTGGGCCGCCGACGCTCTCAACCAGTCGGCGACCAAGGCCAACCCCGGGCGGCGCTCGCCGCACGAGATGTTCACCGGCGAGCAGGGGCCGTTCCGCGTGCTGCCGTTCTTCCAGCCCGGCTTCATGCGCGAGGATCGCCGCACCAAGCTCGACGACCAGGCCACCCTCTGCTACTACCTGAACGGCGGCGAAAACCACCCGAGCGGCACCGTCAAGGTCCTCAAGGCGTCCACCGGCCGCGTCGTCTACACCAACAACGTGTCGTGGGTGACGTCGGCGCCAGCCGGCGAGGGGGGTTCCGCTGGTATCACCGCTGCGCCGACACCCCCCCCGTTCACGCCGCCGGTCGTCTCGATCAACTTTGGCCCAGCACCGACGCCTTCGACCACAGCACCGCCACCGCCAGCGCCCACGCCGTCGCCCGCTCCCGCTCCTGCTGCCTCTTCGCCCCCTGCCGCAACGCCGCCGCCAGCGACCACGCCGCCGCCCGCTCCCACGACTTCACAGCCGCCCTCTGCCACTTCGCCGTCACCGTCGGCGACCCCCGCTCCTGGCCATCCGTCCTCTGCCTCTCCGCCGTCACCGTCGGCGACCCCCGATCCAGACCAGCCGCCGCCGCCGCCGCCGGACCTCGCGATGCCCCCGCTCACGGCTCACGCCATGCGGCAGCTTCGCCCGGGTACAAAGGCCGAGGGTATGACAGACCCGCGGCTGCCAAGCCGTACGAGATCGGGCACGAGGCACAGCACAGGACTCATCTCGATGCTAGACAGGAACACTCTGGTGTCGATGCTGGAGGCTCGGAGCGCGGTGGATAAGGAGCGCAGGGAGCTGGGGGGGGCGGAGGCCGGAGAGCCGGGGGGAACGGGGGCCGGAGAGCAGGCGGGAGCACTCGCAGCAGTGGACCCGGGGGCTGCAGGAGCGGGCTTTCCACTCGCATTTGCCACGCTCCTCGCCAACCGGGAAGACATCGACGCCACGCTGCGAGACCAGCGCCCGCCGGAGCAACGCCCTGACCTTCCGCATTGCCAGGCCAGCGACCTTCGTGTCCCCAAGAGCTACAAAGAGGCCATGGCGTCGGAGCACCGGCACCTTTGGAGCGACTCTATGCAAAGGGAGTTTTATGGCTTGTTGGAAGCGGGGACTTTTACTCCGGTGTAGTAGCAACTAGTGGAGAACGCAATTAACGCTAAGTGGGTATTCGATTGGAAGGCAGATGAGTTTGGATGGCCCACTAAGGTTAAGTCGAGACTTGTAGCGAGAGGTGATATGCAGAGAGAGTACATTGACTTTGGAGAGTTGTACGCGCCTACCGTTTCTGTTTCGTGTGTCAGGATGTTGGCTGCTTTGGCGTGCGAGTTGAACCTCGACTTTGTCATTTCGATATTGAGCAAGCTGTTGTGCGTTCGGAGTTGGAGGAAGGCGTGTACATGCGTTTGCCGCAGGGATGTGGAGCTCTATCTGGAATGATTGTAAAACTAGGTAAGAGTCTGTATGGCTTGAGACAGGCATCTAGGCAGTGGCATGCAATGCTGAAGAGGTGTTTGGTGGCGTTAGGATTTGAGCAGTGCATGGCCGATGCTTGTGTGTTTCGTTTGATTGAGGATGGATGTGTTGTTTTGATTTTGGTTGTACATGTAGATGACATCTTTGCTGTTGGAGAGAGGGAGAGATGTGATAAGTTTGGCGCCGACCTTAACAAGTCCGTGCCAGTGAAGAACCTGGGAGAGTTGAGATGGTATTCTGGGTGCTTTTACGAGAGGAACAAGGAGACCGGTAGGTTGACGATTTCTCAGCAGACTTTCACGGATGAGCTAGCAGCAGTATATGGAGTAGTGGGAGGTAAGAGCGTTCCGATGTCTTCGGGGGTGAAGCTTTCTGATTTTGATGCGAATGAGGTGGCGACAGACTTTCCGTTTCGTGAGCTGGTAGGATCGTTGATGTGGCTGGCGACTCAGACTAGGCCAGACATTGCGAATGCAGTAAGCGGAGTAGCTGGGTATTGCGCATCTCCGAAGTTAGTACACTGGAATGCAGCGATGGATATTTTAGAGTATGCGAGGAGGACGAGTCACTTTGGTATATTTCGTTTCAGAGAGGTACGAGAGTGGAGGGATTAAGCTTGCAGGGATACGCTGATGCGGACTTTGCAGGCAAGGCAGCAGACCGTAGGTCGGTATCAGGGGGGATCGTGACGTGTGGAGGAGGCGCTGTGTCTTGGTTTTCCAGAACGCAAAAGTGCGTCACGCTTTCGACGACAGAAGCAGAGTACGTCGCGCTAGGCGACGTAGTGAAGGAGATTTTGTTTTTGAGGCAGATTTGGCGTTNGTGCATCCCCATCTTAAAGGACAACCAGGGGGCGATTCAACTAGCGCAGAACCCCATCTCAAACTCGAACTCGAAGCACATGGATGGATGTAAGGCACCATTTTCTCAGGGAACTGGTAGAGAGGAAGGAAATTTCGGTCATCCACGTGCCGTCGCCATACCAGCATGCAGACTTTCTTACGAAGAGTTTGTCGAAGGATGCTTTCGAACCTCACCGTGATTTTGTGATGAATTTGGCATGAACATTTTATCGTTTTTCTGATGGGTTGTGTTTTGGTCTTGTTCTGTTTCCCGTTTTGTTTCATTTCCCGCGCCAAGTACTTGTTAAGCGCGATGCAGCATTCATATTTCATTGAATTGTTTTTCTCTCTTGTATCATTCTGGTCAAGTCTTCATGGTATATATTCTGGGCGTCTTTTGGTTGAGATGTCGGGTGTTACCGAAGTTTTCAGTGAGAAACTATTGCGAGCAGGGGGGATGTTAGATATACTCGCAGCAGTATCTGGTCGTGAGGATCCCAGGGGGACACGTGTTGGAAATTTCGTGTGTTGAAGGGTACCACCGGCGCAGTCACGGGGACCCTTTTGGCGTGGTCGGTGCGATAATAATGAGGAAGGCTTGCGTGCGTGCTGCGCACTTCTTCCTCTTCTTCTTCCTCTTCCCTCTCTCTCCACCACCACCGCCGTCTCTCTCCAATCAAGTTTCCTTCTCCCACTCTCTCTCCAACTCTCTCTCACCCTCTCTCTCTCGGCCTAACACGGCCGACTACCCAGTGCCCCAAAGAAACGTCCAGAACGTCCTTGCTGCACCCCGCGTAGTTTCCCTTTCAAGCGTGCTGTGCGGGACCATCGATTGGAACCACCGATCATAGTTGACTGCGGGACCACCGATTGCGGTTGACTGCCGATCATGCCAGCGGTGTTCGACCTTACAATACAATGCACCATGGCGTGCAGCAATCACCCAGACTGTGGTGTGCCCGAGCATGAGTATGGCCAAAACGGTCCCGTCGTGTGAAATATGCCTTGGTATGCTATGTCCGCCTGCGCCACGGTCCGCTGGTGGTCAGCGAGGTCGCTGGTCGGCTGTAAGTAGAACAACACGTTTTCCCGTTAGATCCACCCGATCGGTGGTTACGTCCACCCCTCTATCTCTGCTGTTGCCGTCGCTGAGGGCATGTTGTTTGAGACCGCCACCACACTGGCATGTCGTCAGACAAGTGACCACACACCAGACACGTGGGTTAGGCTTACGGTGAGGTGGATGCCATATTGGTGCACAGCAGCAGTGGAATGAAAGATCTCCCCGGATCGCGGATGAACGCGGAGCAACACTTACCCGCCGTCGTCGGATCATGGATCGTGGATCGTCCCGAACTTCTTTCAAGCTGTGGACATGGACTAGTGCTTGGGGCCGTTACAGCACGGCCATGTCTTGAGCGTACACCCGCTGGCCAAGTGGCCATCATCGTATGTATGTATGTATGTATATGCATGGACACGTCGTGCGGCGAGGGTATAGTCTATGGGATATAGACTAGACTATGGCAATGTCGCGGTTCCAGTTTCTCCGGTTTTGGTGGTGTGGTGGTGTGTGGTTTGAGTTTGGGGAAAGAATGAAATCTGTGAGACTGAAACACTTTGTGCCAGCCAAACTCCCAATCAATCAAGACCACCGTTGCCACCGCCGACAGTAAACGCATGTTCTGGGAAAAACTTGACAGTCTCGTGCGGAGGATTCCCT